ACGAAGACGACGCCCGCCGCGACGGCGACGACGACCACGACGAGACCTGCGCCGACGGACGATCCGAGGCTTCCCCACGACACTCCCGACCACGACAAAGACAACGACGACCCAACACCCCTACCCACGACGACGCGCCTTCCCACCACGACGCCCATCCCCAAGAACACTCTGCCCCGCGCCCTGCCCTCCCGCGACGACTTACCACGACGACCCGACGCTCTGTCCGAAGCCCTGCCCGACCCCCCCTCCGACGCCCTACCCAACTCCCAGCCCTACGCCACGCCGCACTCGCTTCCCGATGCCTTGGCCGACGCCTACCCAACGCCCAGGGGCGACGCTGAGGTGCCAGATGCGCTTGAACCGCTCTCCCCAGTCTGTCCCAGTGGCGAGTCCCGCGTGGAACCCGAGCCCAATCCAGACCCCCCTGCCTTCCCCCCCCCCCTGTGCGCGCCGCCGCCGCGAGGCGCAGGGGGGCGAGGGCGCGGAGGGACGGAGGAGCAGCAGGGCCCGTCGCTCCGCGAGGCGCAGCAGGGAGGCCTACAGTTAGGTCGTGCATGTCCCCCTACAGACCGATTTTGGACGAAACCTAGAAAATACAAAAAAAAAAAAAAAAAAAAAAAATGCTCGAAAGTACTCGAGAATACTAAACACATCGCCCCCAGACAATTTGTTTTGAGTATTTTTGAATACTCCTCCTGTAGAGCGACACCCCCGACTTGACCCTACAGCAAGAGCTCGACCACAAAAGACCTTCCACGAGAGAGCCCACGGATTCTGGGTGTGGGAGCGCCACGCTCTCCACAGCAAGACCGCCGACACCCAAGAAACCCCCGCGACTTCCTACTGGCACTACAGGACGGACGACCCGACCCCCGACCTCTCGGCCGACCCGACGCCGCCCCTGACCGCCGACCCGCCGAAGGCACGCAACTGGACGACCCAACCGACGCCCGACCCGCCGGTCAACCCGACAGCCACCACACCGCCCAGACCGACGCCTGGTCCAGCCAACCCCACGGCTGACCCGACGGCCCACCGCGGCGCGGCTCAACGGCTTGCCCAACGGCCTCCACGGCAACGCTGCGCAGCAGCCTGAGCGTGGCCGAGGCGAACAAGCCGACTCCAGGAGAGACCAGGACTAGGACGACGCCCCTCCCAACTCCCTCCCCACACTGGTGCGTACTCGTACTCTTGACAACGACGAGCCTTCCTACAGCCGACCTGTTCGGCGCGTGCGATTCACCGACGCACCATCGACTGCACAAGCCACCCACCCACTCAGGGATGGATGGCTAACCGAGGGCAGGAAACTGATGCACCCTGCAGCGACGATCCCAGCCCTGATTCTCGGTCAACTCAGACCCCTCTTTCCCGTCCCCCCTTCCCGCATGGGCAGCCGGCCTGCTATGCGGGGCGGGTCCATTCCTGGATCGCCACCTTGACGCACCCTTGCGAAGCCCTTCCACCCCACCCCACCCTTGCCCAACACGCATTCGACGACATGCCAACGATCACACCGACGGCACTCTGGGGGACGACGACACTCACTTCGGCCACAACCAGAACTGGACCAACGGCGAAGGTTTCAAGCAGGTGAGGAACAGCCGATGTGACTTGGCCTTGATTCTGGTGAGGCGTTCGCCACTGTCCAAGTCGGCGGATTGCCCTGGAGCAGACTGGAGAGCAAAGAGAGGGCAAAGCAAACAATGCTGGGCGCAGCCGCTGCGAAACCGAATGGGCTGGCGGGGCGTCCCAAGAGGGAGGAGGGATGAGGGAGGAGCATCGCACCAGCTGCAGGGAGCCACCACGCACCAGAACAGGCCTCGAGGAAGGCACCAATCCAACAAGCTCAGGACCACCCCCCGTCGAGCTCGCTGTAGGGGGCTTGGCACCGCCGCTCGAACAACCCAACGCCCCCAGACGCTTGCACAGCGGCTCGGGGGGCAGAACCGAAGAGTGCCAACCAACGCTCGAGGTCGACCCCACCTCCCCCCGCCGTCGTTCCCGCCGCCGACGACGACGACGACGGCGAGGACGGCGAGGACGACGGTGACGACTAACGGCTGGTTCACGTTGTGCCGACGCGGACCCTGGTTTTGGACACCTCGTGCATCGAGCGGCCCTGAACAATCGCGGCTCTCCGATGGCGCGGAAAACATGCTTCCCCCCGGCAACGTAATGCGTCCCAAAATGTCCTCGCAAGCTCAAGCGCCGCGCCTTAGCTGGCAGCGGAATGCCTCCAACAAGTGTCCTCACAGGCTGAAGCGCCGCGCCTTATCTGGCAACGTAATGCCTCCAACAAGTGTCCAGGCTCAGGCGCCGCGCCTTACCAGCCAACGTAAATGTCTCCAAAAAGTGTCCTCACAGGCTCAGGCGCCGCACCTTATCTGGCAACGTAATGTCTCCAACAAGTGTCCTCACAGGCTCAGGCGCCGCGCCTTATCTGGCAACGTAATGCTTCCACAAAATGCCCTCACAGGCTCAGCTGGGTCCCATGGCGGACAACATTCTGACCAGCGGCCAAAGAAAACAAACAACACCTTCGGGCACACGCTCCAGCGCAGCCCTGCTGTGGTGAAACGCGCAATTTTCACTACGCTTCGGGGCCGGCGACGGAGACGAAGGGAAAGAGCGCGCGGGAGAGGAGTCTGGACAAAAACGTTGTGCGGGCACCCCGCATGACAAGGCTGGTCATTTGTATAATGCGCACAAAGGAAGCCAAGACGCAGGCCGATACGAATTCACCCCAAATCGTATCAACGGAGCCGGAAGGCCGGGAAGACCAGAGGGCAAACAGAAACGTCAGAACGGCACAATAGCTGCGGGAGCACCGAATGCTGGCTGAATGAAATAACGTAACATACAACATGCACGAGGAAAGCGGCAGGGAGCAACGGAGAGGGGGATGGGCACGGAGGGAGGGACGGGGAGGGACCCTGACATACCACCACAATCAAGGCGACCATGCTATTCTCGCCATGCTCCAGAAACTATTGTAGCCAATGGCGGGTGAGCCGCACAGGCGCCTCGACCATACTGCCACCAAGCTCCCGCCGCGTCCGCGGTAGCGCTATGCTGGGCGGCGCAGGAAGCAGCGTATGTACAGTATGCTGTCAGGGCTCGACGGGCTAACACCGGAGCCGCGCTCTCACAGAACGCCGGACCCAGAGCTACGAAGCACGACGCCCGTTCCTCGAACGCGGGGCGGGATAGCCGCAAATGCCTGTAGCGCAGCTCCGCTACGGATGGGCATAGTGCATCATGTACAAGGCTGGTATTCGCCGCGCGCGCAACCGAACGGGCACGGAGCCCACCGTCCATAACGGCGAGCTGTCATTCAGCTGTCGCACTGCGCCCTGTAGATAGAAGCCCACACCCTGGGAGGCACATGCGGCGCGAGGCCGCGAAGCACCTGCAGCGCCCGCGGGGTGCGGCGGTTAGGGAAGAGGTGGAGGGGGAGGCGGGAAAGGGAACGAGAAAGCTCACGGGTGGAGCTCAGCTGGCTGGGCCGCGCCAGCAGTTGACGGCACCGCTGTTGCCATTGCCCCGCGGCGCAGGCTCACTGGATGATGCCTGGACCAACTGGGCGACTGAGAGGCCTGCCACCACCGCGCAGGACTCGAGGCTGGCCTGGGCCGCATGGAGGTTCAGGATGAGGTTGTTCTCGTACCAGTACGACCACGTACCCAACTCCACGACCTTGCTCGACGCGCCGATCGTCTCTTCCAGCGTGCGACGCCGGCGTGTGATCCGCAAACCGCCGCTAGCGTCGGCCTCCCAACGGTGCACCCGGCATTTGGCCGCCAGGCCTACTGCCGTGGCGTCGGGGAGCTACGCTGGGAACCCCAGGGATCGAAAGTCTCGAAGGGCGGCAGGCGACGTCCACTTGCGCGGCCCCGGAAAGAGCAACACGCACGCCTTCTGCTCGCAGTCGTTCCATGACGAAAGCAGGCGGTCCAATTGCATGAAGAAGCACACAACGGGAAATATTATACGCGGTACGCAAGCGTGGTTATGCACGTGCCACCCCCTATTGTTCTCCACGCGCGCGCTCGTGCGATGTATTTCTCCAGCGGCTTGGTCCAAGACAACCCCACGCTCAGGCCCCACCTCGAAGCCGAGGTAAGTGCCGTGCCGACGCATGGCGAACTCTCCCCAAGCCGGTGCTGCAGCCTGGAGGTTCGCCCAGGCCATCGCCGCGGGAACCAGTGAGAGAGAGACCCAGACAGTCTTCCCCCGGTGCAGCCGAAGCCCTGCTAGCCGCTCGTACGGCGCCGTGGGCGAGGGCCATGGCGAGGTCGTCTGCGTAAGCCCGCTGGAGGGACTCTAGGGCCAATCGAGGAAGACGACGTAGCAAGACGTCCGAGATCACAGCAAAAAGCAAAGGTTAAAGAGGACAGCCCTGCCGGACCCCCACGGTCAGCTCAAAACCGTCGAACTTGGTGCCCTGGGTGACGATCTGGCATCGGCTATTGCGGTACAACGCCTTCACCAGGTTGAAGCACCAATATGGCCACCCACGGGCAACCGACACGTCCACAAGAAGCTCCTGGCTCACGCTCGGGAGCGCGGCCTCGAAATCGAAGAAGATCGCCGCCGCGCCGTCGTACTCTAGGGAATAGTGCAGCTTGGCCTCGTCGATGTCCACTAGGTTCGCCAACATAGAGCGGCCCTGCAAGAACCCGCGTTGGGAGTCCGAGATTCCCGGGGCGACCGCCGGCTCGATCCACAAGCGCACGGCGCCAGCGATGGTCCTGTTGTCTGCGTTGGTGATGTTGAGTGGACGCGTACTGGAGGGTGCGTAGAAGCCCATGCCGTCCGAGGTGGCGCCGGTTGGTCTCTTTTGGCAGAAACACCATGGAGCTTTCGTTGAAATCGCCCCAATCCCTCCCCATGTTGTCCACATCGACGGGAGACACCATGGCTGTGAACGCGTCGTGCAGGGCTCGTGCAGCAAATGTTCCCAGCTTCCGCCACGCCCGAAATGGTATGCCATCCGGGCCAGGAGAGCTGTTCTTGGTGTGACGAATGGCATGCTGAAAACACTCGAATGGAACTACCTCGCCAGGGACGTGTCGCTGGTCGATGGCGCGAAAGTGTTTCTGATGTCGAATCGGGACCGCCGCCAGCATTCAACTCTGAGCACCCGCGCTGGGGTCGCCGCCACGTCGACGCGGCGCGAACCTGCCGCATGGGGGGCGGGCCCGAGTGGCGGGGCACTCAGGCACCAGGAGCTCCCGAGACCGAGAGCCGAGAAGAGCGGTCGGGGTCCCGACACGGGCACCCCTTCCTGACGGGTGTCTGCCCCGCACGATCTGGGCCGATTGCTGGGACCCTCTTCCTCCTCCTCCTCCTCCTCCTCCTCCTCCTCCTCCTCCTCCTCCTCCTCCTCCTCCTCCTCCTCCTCCTCCTCTCACGAAGAGCTCATCTGCGGCGGAGGTGTCGGTGGGAGAGGATGGCGGCAAGGCCAGACGAGGTACAACTCGGGCGAGCTCGCGCGCGGCCAGACCTGCACGATCGCGAGGGTAGTGGATGAAGGAGATGAGTGTGACAGCGACTGCAGGAGATAGCGAGGGCAGCAGAAACAGAACGGCGAACACGGCGGGGCGTTGAGCAGAAGCTGCTGCAGGGGCCGCAGGCGGCTGCAGAAGGCAGCGGTTGCACTTTTCCCAAGCACAGCGCACCCACGCTGTACCTCTGACGTCGTGCATGCAGAAAAGATGTGGCCCTCGAGCGACCCCCTCAACAGGGCAACCCGCTCGAGGGCCACCCGCCGCTCCCGCTCGAGGACCGGCGGGCGAGAAGCGAAGGCCGGACGACGGCGGGGACGGCCGGAGATGGTCGTGGGAGTGCGAAGAGGGTCGGAGGACTGGCGAACACAGTCAGACCTAGGCCAGAAGAGCACACTTCAAGAACCCGAGACCCTCCACCGGCCAAAACACACAGAACATCCAAGGTTACCCTCCCCAGGATGCACAAGAGCATTCAACAAGCACGAAGAACACTAGGGCACCCTCCCCGAACAGACCTCGATTTTATACCTCGGTTCGACTGTATGGGAAAGATGAGGCGCCGACTTCCAGGAGCGCGCGGAGATGGTTGGAGGACGGACAGTCAGCAGGTGCGCCGACGCCAGACGAGGCCACCAAAACCCTTTGGAGAGATTGGCGGACAGGAGGGTGACTGGCTGACCTGCGACCAAGGGGACAGGAAGAAAGAGGATGAGGAAAAACGAGCGCACAGAAACATAAGCACGACAGAGAGAGCGGGAGAGTGGCAGCCGGAGAATGACAAAGTCAGCTCGCTCTCCTTGAAGAACAAACCGCGGCATAAACATAAACTTGCGGATGTCCGCTCGGATTTCTTGGATCGGCGCTCTGGAAGTGCCGCCAGGGGCGTGTGGCGCCGATCCGAAAAAGCCGCGCAGACCTCCAAAGCGCGTGTTGGTGCACTTCGTCATTCTCCTATGGTGAGGGGCAGCGGTAGGGGAGGACCAGCTCAGGGGGGGAAACATCGAGCTCGAATGGGCGATGCGTCGCCGACAGATCGGCGATAAGCCCCCGATGGCGAATCCGTACGATCCTGCGCGGGGCGTGCCAATCAGCCCCCTGCCAGTGATGCTGCGCCTGTTACCCCCCCCCCATCGGTGCCCCTGAGATCTCCCCACCGCCGACCACGCGCCCAGCTCAGGACAAGCACCGGAGACCCTCGGAGTGTACCCTCCGCCCTGCGGCCACGAAGTCCCGCCCGTCGAGACACTGGCGGCCCTGGGTCGGATCTCCGTCGTCAGGCCTATCGCGCCAGCGCCGCCGGCTCCCGGCAGCCAGCGCTGCGCGGTGACGGAGAGGGACAGAGGGCACGAGAAGGCAACGAGAGCGAGAAGAGAAGGAACGGTGAGGACATCTCCAGGCGACTCCGAGGGGAATGGTTTGCAGAGGGTGTGGTTGACTAGCAGCCCCCGCCAGGGCGGCGCTGGCGAAGACCTCGACAGAGATTCCTGCCGCGCCCCCACGGGGGCTCAGCAAACCTTTGGGGAAACGTGGTGGCTCTTTGAGCCCCAACGGCGCCGATCGCAGACCACACCCCAGCGTGACCACACCCATTGACGAACGAACAACACCCATCCATACACATAGGGGGGACGGACGGGGCTATGGGTGAGTGCTGTCAGATGGGGGTCCCCGCTCGATCGGGAGCCTCCCCAGGGGTCCCGACAACCCGCACCCATACGCATCGCCAGTCCTCCTCCCTCCGACCTCCCTATGGACATGGGTGTGTGTTGTTCGGTCGTCACCCGTTGCAGTCGCCGAATCTCGCGTCTCCTCACTGGAAGCCGTGCCCGTGGCGAGGCTGACGCCGGCCAGGCCCAGAGCTGCCGCCGCCGGCTGGCGCCCAGCCGGGCGGCCCCCGCGCCGCGCGGCCGCGGCCCTCCGGCACGGCGTTGCCGCCCTCCTTCGCGGCATGGTCGCCCCCGCTCGCGCTGGAGAACGCGGCGACCTCGGGCACGCTCGAAATACGAGAACGGCGCTGATGCACCGCACCATGCTTGAACTCCCGGCAGGTCTCGCTCCAACGCGGTAAAGTGCACGTAGTCTTTTGGCGCTAAGGGCCGAGAAGCCATGCACCGTACAGTTCCTGGGTCGAGGATCGACAACGCCTCGGGAAAGGCCAAGGCGATACGGTGCAGACACATCGTCCGCGGAGAAAAGAACAGAGCCCGTGGCCTTCCATCCTTCGCGATGATGGCCCGTGACAGGCCCTGCCCACCCTGCCCACCCCGTGGTCACGTCACGATTCGCGCCAGCGCCGTGTGGTAAGGCTGACGATTTTTCAATCACTCCCAGGCGGCGCCGGCGCAGATCGTGACGTGACTGGCCCTCCCCCGCTCCCACCCCTCCCTGCCCCGCCCCGTCCCGCCTGGTATCGCCAGGGGATGAGAGTGAGTTGTCTTGAGAAACTCGCGTCATCCTGACCACCCAGCGCGCGAGGGAATGTGCCCGCCAACCGCCCCCCTGTCCTGTTCTCGGGAAATCCATGGACATCTGGGAAATATGGAGACGAATTCCAAACCGCCGCCCTCGCGTGGGACATCATCAGGAAACTGGACCCCAGAGCCTCTCCAAGGAGGCCCTCAGGACCCCTTATTCCGTTTCGGGAAAATCTGAGAGAACCAGGAAATCCAGCGACGAATTCCCAACTGGCGCCCTCGCGTGGGACATCCTCTGGAAACCGACTCCCCGACCCTCCCCAAGGAGGCCCTCAAAGACCCCCTTGTTCCGTTTTGGGGAAATCTGGGAAATCCAGCAACGAACTCCAAACCGGCGCCCTCGCGTTGGACATCCTCAAAAAAACTGGCTCCCAAACTGGACCCCGGTGAGCGAGAAAGTCAGGTCTCAAAGCGCCCCCATGCAACGACCATTTCCGAGAATCTGCCGGTGCGCGCCCAGGCGCCGAGGGGCACTGGGCGTCCCAGTCCGGGGCTCTCACTCAAAACATCCTCGCAGAAGTCGGCCCGGGCGTGTCCCAATCGAGGACTCCCGCTCGAGACACCCTCGCAAAGTCTCCCAATCGCCCCCCGAGGGGGGCCCCCGAGGACGATGACGACGACGTAGGAGGACGGAGAAGGGGGGGAGGAGAGAGGAGGGGAGGAGGAGGAGGAGGAGGAGGAGGAGGAGGAGGAGGAGGAGGGGGAGGAGGAGGAGGAGGAGCAGGAGGAGGAGGAGGAGGAGGAGGAGAAGGAGGAGGAGCAGGAGGAAGAGGAGGAGGAGGAGGAGGAGGAGGAGGAAAGCCAAGTCCCTGGCAAGGTCCCCGGAAACTCAAGTCAGAGATGGTTTAGCCCCTGAGCCCCACCCTCAAGGCGTCCCGGAGAGCCCCTAGAGCGGTTCAAGACAGCCCCAGAAAACCCCTAGTCGCCGAAGAGACGCTCCCAAACGCCCAAGATGGCCCCAAGACGGCCCAAGAGGCCGCAAAGAAGCACCAAGAGCGCTACAAGAGGACCCCAAAAATGACCAAAACAAGCAAAGTCTTTGATTATCTTTGTATGTTTTCTCTGTGTTTCGCGATTTCGCGATTTCGGGCTTCCGGCGCTCCAAGATGGCCCCAGAGGCCCCCAAAACCGCCCCAAGACGGCGGCCCGAGAGGCCCCCAAGAGGGTCCCAAGACGGTCCAGGAGGGCCCCCAAGAGGCGCCCAAGATCGCCCAAGACAGCCCTAATAGGAGGACCACGAACCATCAATTCGAGCCTTCCAGCCGAAGAGGCCCGAAGGAGACCCAGGAAGCCCCCAAGAGAGCCCAGGAGACCCCCTGGAGACCGCACGAAGCCCCCAAGAGGCCAATATGATCGACCCATGAACACGGCAAGGGATATGAAAATGTGAAGCAACGTTTTCAAGACACCTGACTGGGCGACGGACAATTGCAATGCTCAATGTATCGATCTTGGTGTACCGTGCCCAGGGCTGTGCTGTGCTGTGCCGTGCTGAACTGCGCCAGGAAACTGTGATGAACTGTGCTGTTCCGTGCCGTGCGGGACGCGCCACGGAACGTGCCAGGGAACGCGCCAAGTTGCAATGGTTAATGTATCGATCTTGATGTACCGTGCCAAGGGCTGTACTGTGCTGCGTCGTGCTGAATTGCGATGTGCCATGCCGCGGTTGTGCTCTGTAGTGTTGTAGATCGAGTCCTCCTTTGCATCCGAGTCCTGACCAAACTGATCTGGATCTTAAGCTCGAGCTGCCTGAGCACAAAGTAGCTGCCCCAGGGCTAATTCAATTCACAGGGGAACATGCCAGGAGGATGCGCCGCGGAACGTCCCAAGCGACGTGCCAAGGACGTGGCATGGGGACGTGCCACGGGGACGCACCACGGGACGTGCCAAGGGGACGCGCTACGGAACGTGCCAATGGACGTGCCACGAGACGTGCCAGGGGACGCGCCGCGCGACGTTCCAGGGGGACTCGCCACGGGACGCGCCACGGAACGTGCCAGGGAACGCGCCAGGTTGCAATGCTGAGTGTATCGATCTTGATGTACCGTGCCAAGGGCTGTACTGTGCTGCGTCGTGCTGAATTGCGATGTGCCATGCCGCGGTTGTGCTCTATAGTGTTGTGGATCGAATCCTTCTTTGCATCCGAGTCCTGACCGAACTGATCGGGATCTTAAGCTCGAGCTGCCTGAGCACATAGTGGCTGCCCCAAAGCTAATTGACAGGGGGATATGCCATGAGGACGCGCCGCGGGACGTGCCAAGGGAACGCGCAAAACAACGTGCCAATGGACGTGCCACGGGACGTGCCAGGGGACGCGCCACGCGACGTGCCAATGGGGACGTGCCAAGGGACGCGCCACGGAACGTGCCAGGGAACGCGCCAGGCTGCAATGGTTAATGTTTCGATATTGATGTACCGTGCCAAGGGCTGTACTTTGCTGCGTCGTGCTGAATTGCGATGTGCCATGCCGCGGTTGTGCTCTGTAGTGTTGTAGATCGAGTCCTCCTTTGCATCCGAGTCCTGACCAAACTGATATGGATCTTACGCTCGAACTGCCTGAACACATAGTAACTGCCCCAAGGCTAATTGACAGGGGAACATGCCAAGACGCGCCGCGGAACGTCCCAAGGGACGCGCCAAACGACGCGCCAGGGGACGTGTCACGGGGACGCACCGCGGGACGTGCGGAGGGGACGCGCTACGGAACGTGCCAATGGACGTGCCACGGGACGTGCCAGGGGACGCGCCGCGCGACGTTCCAGGGGGACTCGCCACGGGACGCGCCACGGAACGTGTCAGAGAACGCGCCAAGTTGCAATGCTGAGTGTATCGATCTTGATGTACCGTGCCAAGGGCTGTACTGTGCTGCGTCGTGCTGAATTGCGATGTGCCATGCCGCGGTTGTGCTCTATAGTGTTGTGGATCGAATCCTCCTTAGCATCCGAGTCCTGACCAAACTGATCTGGATCTTAAGCTCGAGCTACCTGAGCACAGAGTAGCGGCCCCTGAGCTCATTGGCAGGGGGACATGCCAGGAGGACGTGCCGCGGAACGTCCCAAGGGGCGCGCCAGGCGACGTGCCAAAGACGTGGCATGGGGACGCACCGCGGGACTTGCCAAAGGGACGCGCTACGGAACAATATATAACCATCTATAACAAAAAACAAACGTTTCGCTCGAGTATACAGCATCCGCGCTCACAGGGCCACGATCCCTTGTGAATTACGTGGCGCCCGCGCTCCCAAGGCCACGATCCCTGGTAAATTACGCGGCACCCGCGCTCCCAAGGCAGCAATCCCTCGGAATTGACGCGGGACTTGCGCTCCCAAAGCCGCGATCCCTTATAAGTTACATTGGATTTGCAATCCAAAAGCCGCACCCTCTCGTAAATGACCTGCCCCCGCACTCCCAGGGCCACGATGCTTAATAAATTCTTGACGCTTCGCGTATCCCCATGTTGGGATACGGACGCACGTTCGCCAATGCCACCTGGTCCCAGCTGCGCGTGCTCTCTGAGTATGGACGCTTGACCCGCCTCTGGGTCCGATTTGGGGGCGGCGGACCTGCCGGCCACAAGGGATCCCTGGTCATAGACGAGAGCTTTGACCCACTGCCCGACCTCGCCACCTGGGCACCATCCCCCGTCGCCTGGAGCTGTGATGCAAAGGGAGAGGACGGGCGCAATGAGCTCGATGCGGCCAAGAGGAAAGCCCGCGACGCCCAGGCGAACGGCTTCGCCGAGCGCTACAACACCCCGCTGGCCGAGGACTTCGACTGGGACTCCCTGGGCAAGCTCATCTCTGCCGGCCTCAACGAGATCCTCTCGACGCCTGCCTTCCACGTGCTCATCTACCTGGTGGCGGGGCTACACCCGCACGAGTTCTCGCTGGCAGAAACGCCGCGGCAACCTGGCAGACTCGACCGCAAGGCTTGGTCGCACCTGGGCTTCCTGTTCGACATGTCCCTGGGTTTAGACGCGACCAATCTGGTCTACAACATGCTCTGGGCAGCCATTGCGTGGTCACTCGGCCTTGGCACTCCCCGGGAGGACGCGAACCACGCAGCGTGCGATGACTCCCCCCCCCGGGTGCCGCACGTCAGGGGACGACGTGCAACACTCTGCGGTCGGCGCCAGTGCACCCCCAAGGGACTTTTTCGGCAGGTTCCCCAGGCGTGGAGCGCAGCAACCAAGGATTGCTGCAGACACAGGAAGCACCCTGGGATGGCTGGCCTGCAGGAGATCCTTAGCGGCGCCCCCGTCGATCCAAATTGGGTCCAGTTCCGGAAGGGAATTAAAGACACAGATGGCCTCCCCATGGGATCCAGCAAGACCTGGTCGCTCTTGGCCGTCATGATGTCAATGCTCCGCGAGCCGCGTGTGTTCTTGTGGCCTTTCCCTCGCGCCGAGCGGGCTGGGGATGCGATTGAAACCATCCTGGGCTTCTGTGTCCCATGGCAAGAAGCGCACCGAGGGTTCCGGCACGACTTCGCAAGCACCTGGGGACTCACGC